TCCCTCTGAAACCCTTTCATGGGGCGAGAGGAAGGAAAGGGGTCGTTTGGGATTTCCCTGTCATTCTTGGGCAACGATCCCGTCTTTCCGTAGGTGGTAGCCCGCCGCTCAGATCTCAAGCTGATTGTTACCTCGGCCACCATGGATGCAGAGAAGTTTGCGTCTTTCTTTGGAAACGTGCCCATCTTCCACATCCCAGGCCGCACATTTCCGGTTGACGTTCTCTTTAGCAAGGTATGGGGTAAGCAAAGGCCTGGAGCAAGGCCGTCCAGGTGAGCCCCGGATGGGTGCATCAGCCTCCTTTTTGCTCTTTCAGACTCCGCAAGAAGACTATGTGGAGGCCGCCGTAAAGCAGGCCCTGCAGGTCCACCTCTCCAGCGCCCCTGGAGATATCCTCATTTTCATGCCAGGCCAGGAGGACATCGAGGTGAGTTCATCTGTGGGACTGTTTAAGATCCTAGTCAGCCCCCTAATTGCCTCGCCTCATCTTGCAGGTCACATCTGAGCAGATTGTGGAACATCTGGAAGAGCTGGAAAATGCTCCTGCTCTGGCTGTGCTGCCCATCTACTCTCAGCTACCCTCAGATTTGCAGGCCAAGATATTCCAGAAGGTACGGCCTGCTGCCTTTGCGCTAGTGACGATCTCGGATTACTTGGCAATGGTACCTAGATACTTGAAGCGTCTAACGTGGCTTCTCCCAAGCTCAAGACGAGTAGAACGATTGGCAAGCAGCCTGATCTGCAGCAAAAAATGAGTCTGGGAAGTAGATGGATTTTGTGCCGTGGCTTGAGAAGTCAAACATCTTTCTCTTCTTGGGAAGTAGAAACTAGAAGCCTTTTCAGGAGCTGTTTGATACAGGCCATTTCGGTCAAAGGGATTGCTAGCCTTTATAGGACTTAGCTGCTGAAAGCAAAGATGCTGGAATCAAAAGCCAGCACCTCAGGGCCTTTCCTTGGGGGAAACTGAGCGTTTCAATTGAAGATGTGGATTAGGAGCTGCATCTTGAAACTTGGATTCTTGGCAGGCACCAGATGGAGTCAGGAAGTGCATTGTGGCCACCAATATCGCAGAAACCTCGTTGACGGTTGATGGGATCATGTTTGTGATCGACTCTGGATATTGCAAACTGAAGGTAAGGAAGCTTGCTTATGGAGAGCGTGAGGTCCTAGGGATGAAGCCCCAGCTAACCCTACTTGTTACATCTCAGGTCTTCAACCCACGGATTGGCATGGATGCCTTGCAGATCTATCCAATCAGCCAGGCTAATGCAAATCAGCGCTCTGGCCGAGCCGGAAGGACAGGCCCAGGTCAGTGTTTCAGGTAGGAGTTGTACGTATCCAAGGGGGTCTCCTCGCAGCCTGCAGTGGGCACATGCTTATCTGTCGCTGCCAAATCTCGTTCTTCCGCTGTGGCCAAGGCTGCTCCCCCCCCACTGAGGTGGTTGCTCTCTTTCTCGAGCAGACTCTACACCCAGAGCGCTTACAAGAATGAACTGCTGACCACCACCGTCCCAGAGATCCAGCGTACCAATCTGGCCAATGTGGTGCTGCTTCTCAAGTCTTTAGGGGTGCAGGACCTGCTACAGTTCCACTTTATGGATCCCCCTCCAGAAGACAACATGCTCAACTCAATGTACCAGTTGTGGATTCTCGGGGCGCTTGATAACACAGGTTGGGTGGAACAATCCTTCCCCACCCCCAGTATGTGGGTGGGGGGGGGCATGTGCTCCTTCTGTGGGGCTTGGCTCAGGATCCTGTCCCTGCAGGTGGTCTGACGTCGACTGGACGCCTGATGGTGGAGTTTCCCCTGGATCCAGCTCTCTCCAAGATGCTGATCGTTTCTTGTGACATGGGCTGCAGTTCAGAGATCCTCCTGATTGTCTCCATGCTCTCAGTCCCAGCCATTTTTTACCGGCCAAAGGTGAGCCAGGGTTTCTGTTGGTCTTTACTCTCAGGAACGGCCTTCCTGGTCTGTCACTTTCCTTTCTGCCATCACTCTGCAGGGTCGGGAGGAAGAAAGCGACCAGGTGCGAGAGAAGTTTGCTGTTCCCGAGAGTGACCACTTGACTTACCTGAATGTTTATCTGCAGTGGAAAAATAACAGTTACTCAACGCTCTGGTGCAATGAGCACTTCATTCACGCCAAGGCCATGCGCAAGGTGGGTGTTGGGGGAGGCCCAAGGGGCGCAGAGCGACCGTGAACGGGGCTGAACCTGCCCTGGCCCTTGCCTTCCAGGTGCGGGAGGTGCGAGCGCAGCTGAAGGACATCATGGTGCAGCAACACATGAGCCTGGCTTCCTGCGGCACCGACTGGGATGTGGTTCGCAAGTGCATCTGTGCTGCTTACTTTCACCAGGCTGCAAAATTGAAGGTGAGGGATTCTTGGCCCCGTCGGTTGCCTTTGGCAAAGTGGCCTGCTCCTCCCTCTGTGGCCTATTTGGAGTGGGGGGGGGGCCACAAGGCCGCCTTGCAACTTGCTGAGCTCATTTCCCTCCCCATCATCCTCAGACAGATTCACTTCTTTGTGAGCCTCAGGAGGCCAGGTCTGGATTCTACCCAGCACGAAGGAAGCTCCATTTTAT